TTCTGAGCAACAGGGACAGAGTCTGTGCCAGAGACCTGTACCCCATGGCTTACCCCTGGTAAGTCGTCCCCCCCAACAATATCCAAAACGGTATACTTGTTTTTGAAGGGAATGGCCACAGGGGATCCCTGCAGTGTCTGCCTGTTCCCTTTCCGTCCCCTGACTGTAACCCATCTACTTTCTTCCCGTACCTGAGGTGTGACTACCTCCCCGTAACTCCTCTCAATTACCCCCTCAGCCTGCTGAATGATCCGAAGTTCATCCAGCTCCAGCTCCAGTTCCCTAACACGGTTTCCGAGGAGCTGGAGTTGGGTGCACTTCCCGCAGATGAAGTCAGTGGGGACACTAGTGGTGACCCTTACCTCCCACATTCTACAGGAGGAGCATACAACTGCCCTAACATCCATTCCCACTGTTCTGAATTCCCAGACAAATAAAAAAAAAACTAGTAGCCTTACCAAATCAGCGCTCAGAACCTTTTTTTTGGTTAGAGGAGGAGGATTGGTGGGATTGGTGGGTGTTTCGGGTAAAGCAACCGTCCAAATATATTACCTCACTTACTCCAAAAATGGAGTCACGCGAGGTAAGACTTTTATAATTGAAAAGCTCACCTTCCCAGGCTGCCCTCGCGCTTCCTCCCGGACTCCCGCCCCTGAAACAACTGAAAGGATGAGAAACAAAGGATGAGAATGAGAGGAAAAGAAAGAGTGTGAGAAACAGTAGGTGAGAAACAAAGGATGACAGAGGAGGAGAAGCAGAGTAGGAGAAACAGAGGATGAGAAACAGAGGGGCAGGAAGAGAGGGGCAGAAGCAGAAGGGAAGGAACAGAGGGGCAGAAACAGAAACTGAAATAGAAACAGAAGATGACCAATAGTTGATGAGAAAAAAAGGATGAGAAACAGAGGATGAGAAACACATGATGAGAAACAGAGATTGAGAAACAAAGGGTCACAAACAGAGGTGTAGAAACAGAGGTGCCGAAATGGAGGATAAGAAACAAGATGATAAACAGAGAATGAGAAAAAGAGGATAATAAACAGATGGGCAGAAGCAGTGGAGGAGAAACAGAGGATGAGAAACAAAGGATGAAAAACAGAGGGGCAGGAAGAGAAAGGCAGAAACAGAAGGGCAGGACAGGGGGGCAGAAACAGAGGGACAGAAACAGAGGATTTGAAACAGAGGATGAGTAACAGAAGAAGAGAAACGTGGGTCACAAAGAGAGAATGAGAAATACAGAATAAGAAACAGAGGATGAGAAGCAGAGGATGAGAAGCAGAGGGGCAGAAACACAAGACCATAAACAGACGGGCAGAAACATAAGGTGAGAAACAAAGAAAGAGGAGCAGCGGATGAGAAATAGAGGGTCAGAAACAGAATTTGAAAAAAAGAGGATGAGTAACAGAGGGGCAAAAGCAGAGCATTCGAAACAGAGGATGAGAAACAAAGAGGCAGAAACAGAGGGTCAGAAACAGAATGTGAGAAACAGATGGTGAGAAACAGAGGGGGAGAAACAGAGGTTGAGAAACAAAGAGTGAGAAACAAAAGGTGCAAAACTGAGTAACAGAAACAGAGGTGCAGAAACAGAGGGTGAGAAACAGAGTGTGAAAAACAGAGGGGTAGAAACAGAGGGTGAGAAACAGAGGGTACGAAACAGAGGGGGATAAACAAAGATTGAGAAACAGAGGGTGAGAAGCTGAGGGTGCAAAAAAGAGTGGCAGAAACAGTGGGCGAGAAACAGAGGGGCAAAAACACAGGGCGAGAAACTGAATGGCAGAAAAAGAGAGTGTGAAACTGAGGGGCAGAAACAGAGGGTGAGAAAAAGAGGGTGCAAAGCAGAGGGTGCAAATATGAGGCTGAGAAAAAGCGGGGTAGAAATGGGGGCAAGGGGGGGTGGTGGTGAGAAACAGAGGGAGAGAAACAGAGTGGCAGAAACAGAGGGTGAGAAACAGAGGGTACGAAACAGAGGTGGAGAAACTGAGATGGAGAAATGGAGGGCAAGAAACAAAGAGTGCGAAACAGAATGGCAGAAACAAAGGACGTGAAACAGAGGGGCAGAAACAGAGAGTGAGAAACAGAATGAGAAACAGAGGGTTAGGGTCAGGGTCAAGGTCAGGGTCAGGGTCAGGGTTAGGGTTAGGGTTAGGTTTAGGGTTAGTCTCACCTGCGATAGGGTTAGGGTTAGGGTTAGGGTTTGGGTTAGGGTTAGGGTTTGGGTTAGGGTTAGGGTTCGGGTGAGGGTTAGGGTTCGGGTTAGGGTTCGGGTTCGGGTTAGGGTTAGGGTTAGGGTTCGGGTTCGGTTACGGTTAGGGTTCGGGTTAGGGTTCGGGTTAGGGTTAGGGTTAGGGTTAGGGTTAGGGTTAGGGTTAGGGTTAGGGTTAGGGTTTAGGGTTAGGGTTTAGGGTTAGGGTTAGGGTTAGGGTTAGGGTTAGGGTTAGGGTTAGGGTTAGGGTTGGG